GAAGCATTCAACAGAACAAAATATGTGGTGCATTTAGGATGTCGGTCCTCTTGTGCGGGCTGCCACTGTCATCAGACTCACAGTGACTTTCAGGAATCCATTGTATAGGTAATCGTCTTCTTTGGCCTGTCCAAGGAAAGCCAAACCTACAGATGGGGGGGAACGCATCCCATCTCCCATGCAGGCAGCTGGCAGGGGTGAGCGCCCCCCAGCACAAGTGGCCAGAGGGGTCGCGCAGCCCTCCCCAGCATGGGCAGCCTTTGGGGGCATGCCCACCCCGCCCCCCACTGCTCAGACACCCGGCGGGCATGTGGCCCCTCTCGTGCAGGCGGCCAGCGGGCATCTACTTCCCCCACCGCTGCCATCCTGGCTCCAAGAATTCTCTCCAGAACAAGTCCACCTTGCACCAGTGTGGTGGCTTCACTGCACCAGTCTTGAGGAGGGCCGGTGCCCAGCATCCATCCTGGGTGAGGGAATCCACTGGTTCCGGCTGTGGAAGCTTCATTGAGCTGCAGCAGCTGTGCAGTGTGGCGTGGGCTCTGCAGGAGGGGTTGGGAGCCATGAGAATCACCCATTCCTCCTTGGGAATCCTTGAATTCCTGTTGTTGAGCCTCGCTCTTCACTGAGGGCCAGTCATCAACTGTTTAACTGTTCAATTATCAATAAGCTGAAGTCTGTAGAAGGCCATAGTGGCCCTGCTTTAAGTGGTTCGCTGCTCCCGCAGCTCACCACGCTGTCTCTGCCTCTGCCGCCATCTTGGATCTCCCTGACTTTTCTAAGCACAATGTTCCTTTCTAAGGAATAACAACATGCTCAGCCATCTTTACCTCTGAGGAGCATTTTGGATGCACTTTCTCCAAGACATATCTGATTGTTCTTTTGGTAGTCCATGTGTATTCAGGACTCTCCTCTGTTGAAAGTGTTAGGTAGAGCAATAAGTCAAGAAAAGGAAATGAGAGTTATCCACATTGGCAAAGAGGCACTAAAGCAATCTCAATATACAAATAACAGGATAGTGAACTTAGAAAAATCTAAGAAAAACAAACAAACAAAACAAACCTGCTAGACCTTGTAGAAAAATTCAACTAAGTGGCAGCATATACGATCAACATGCAGATATCAATTGAACTTCTTTAGAGCAACAGAGAAAACACTGAAAAAGAATGATGAAAAATAATATCATGTACACAGCCAACCACAAAATGAAATACATAGGAATAAACCTAACTATTGTCACGTGATGGTAACAATGGCCTCTAGTGTGGCAGAGATGATGAAGATGGCATAGGATAGGACAGGATTCCAATCTCTTGTTTTCATAGGTTTGCTGTGAATCATGCTCAACTTGACAGCACCTAACAACAACTGGCCCAAATGATCTGTATAAACAGACGACAACAAGAAACAATAAGAGAGTTACATAGAAAAGTGTATGGGAGCTCTGATGGGTTATTGGCAAGAAGCTGTGCTGAATCCAATCCCAAAGGCATGTGGTTCAAATCCACCAGATGCTCTGCTGGAGAAGGAGGGGCACTTTCCTCCTGTGTCAGTCGGACCCAATCTGACAGTACACAGCAATAAAAATAAATAAATAAAAACAAAAACAAATGAAAAGCGTACCATGTTCATAGGCAGGAGTACATAGTATTGCGAAAATTATAATCCTACCAAAAGCAGTCTACAGATTCAGCACAATCTCTATACAAATACTAATGTAATTATTCAGAGATAAAAAGGGTAATTTCCATTTTTATTTGGAAAGGAAAGAGAACCCAAATAAGAAAAGCACTTCTGAAAAAGCAAAAACAAAGTAGGAAACAACTTACTCCCTGATCTCAAAACCTCTACACAGCCATAGTTATCTAAACAGCATGGGATTGGTACCAATGACAGGCACAGAGACCAAAGAAATAGAAGAAAGAACCCAGAAATCAACCCATCTACAAAAAACCAACGTGGAAAGTATTGAGCAATCTCATTGGTAGCTTAATCAAGTAAAATCTTGCTGAAGATTACTAAAAGTACAATGGCAGAGAACTGCTAGATATACAGGCTGGGTTTAGAAAAGGCCATGGTACTAAGTGTATCATTACTGATATTAGATGGATCTTGGCTGAAAACAGAAAGGACCAGAAAAACATCTACTTGTGTATACTTTACTATTAAAAGCTATTTGACTGTGTGCCATACAAAATCTATATATAAACCAAAGATTTTTTTTTGTCCTAAGAGAGCAAGAGAACTCTGCATGTCTTAAAATCAAGAAAGGTGTGTATCAAGGCTCTATACTTGTTCATTCTCTATGCTGAGAATATCATTTGAGAAGCTGGACTTAATGAGGAAAAATATAGCATCAGCATCAGAAGAAGACTCATGAATAACCTGCATTATGCAGATGACACAACTTTGCTTGCTGAAAGTATGGAGGGCTTAAAATACTTGCTACAGAAGATCTATACACAAGACTATAGCCTTCATAATGTACTACGTATCAAAATCAAGAAAACAAAAATCAGGGGAGTTCTGGTGGCCTAGTGGCAAGAAGCTGAGCTTCAATCTCAAAGACATGCAGTTCGAATCCACCAGATGCTCCACTAGAGAAGGAGGGGCAATCTCTTCCTGAGTCAGTTGGATCTGAATTGATGGTATACTACAAGAAGAAGAAGAAGGGGGAAAAAAGAAAGAAAGAAAATAAAAATCCTGACTACTTGGTCTATAAGCATCATGTTAGAAAAAAGATAGAAATTGGCAATGGTCTCATCTTACTTGGATCCACAGTCAATAGTCAGCTATGCTGGTACCAGCAGTTAAGAAATCAAAAGGCATTGCCTTAGGAACGTCTGCTGTCAGGGACCTCTCCATTGTACTAAAGAGCAAGGATGTCAGTTTAAAAGACTAAAATATACCTGATCCACGCCATTGTCTTTTCAGTTGCTTGCTATACACCTGAGAGTTTATGGTGAATAAAGATGACATAAGAAGAACAAATGGCTTTGAGGTGTGGTGCTGGATAAGAGTATTAAATAGTTCATGGACTGCCAAGAAAGCAAACAAATATGTCTTGGTATTTGGTGTAACCAGGGTCTTCATCTGATGCAAGAATAGTGAAACTTCATATCAAATACTTTGAGCATGTTGTTAGGAGAGGCCAGTCCTTGGAGAAGGAGGACATCATGCTCAGAAAGGACTGTCCTTAAGAAGGTGAATCCAAGTTGCTCCTTGGAGGCAAGGATTTTGAAGCTTTATCTCACATACTTTGGATGCATGACCAGGAGGGACCGATCCTTGGAAAAAGGACATCATGCTTGGAAGAGTGGAGGGAGAGCACAGGAGAGGAAGACCCTGGATAAGTTGGATTGACACAGTGACTGGGGTAATGGGGTCAGATGTGTCAGAGATAGTGAGATTGGCTCAGCATAGGTCAGGGTTCTGAACTATTGTACATCAAGTCACAGGTGACTTGATGGCAAATAACAACAAAATAACCCTTAACTGTTAAGGCAGTTTAGACTCTTCTAAGGAATGATGGGAACCACAGTGCAGAGAAGTCAGAACCACTAGTGGCTTGCTTGTAAGGAGTGACACTGCTAACCTGAAGGCCCACAGTTCTGATCCACCAGCTGCTCTATGGGAGAAGAATGGGCAGTCTCCTTTTGTGCAACTTACTGCCTCTGAAAACCCACTGGAAGGTCAACTGTGGGTCACTCAGGGCCCCTCATTTCTCACCTTCTAAGGTTAATTCTGCATTCGTAATTTTTGGTTTTCAAAAAAGATCCCCAAATTATGTAAGACTCCATAATGCTTGAATCCACTTTTGTATGGGATTATGAATCTCTAAGGAACAATACCAATCCCAACCCATCCCTTTTTTGAAATCCAGAGATTCTGTGATGATTCTTGGGAAATCTGGTAGCCATGACGAATGTAAGGACAGGTATCTGTCACTAAGGAAGTGACTGATGTTCAGTGGTATACAGATATTCTAAAAAATGTTTTGTGGAAAATTGGTATAGCTTCTGTTAGGTTTAGCAACTAATCTATTGTGATTTCCTTCCAAAGCACTGTTACTACATTTTGTTTATTGGGGACAGATGAAATCATAATCCACTTTTTGCTTTAAGATTAGAAAAGTTCTTGTTTCTAAAGGATGGAATAAAGCTCTGTGACCTCATGACTGTGGAGTGATCAACAAGCACAAATTACACTTTAGCTGTGCTGCTTAACTAAAAGTGATGCCTCTTTGCTGGTTCAATCCACCAGGGGGTCTGTGGTAAAAAGATGAACATTCTCCTTCTGTACAAGTTATAGCCTCCAGAAACTCATCGGAGGGTTAGTTATAAGAAAGAAAGAGGAGGGAGAGAGAGAAGAGAGGGTGAGAGAAAAGAGGGAAAGAAGAGGGAGAGGGAGAGGGAAAGGGAGAATGAGGGGAGGGGAGGAGAGAGGAGAGGAGAGGAGAAGAGAGGAGAGGAGAGGAGAGGATTGACTAAACACCATAGAGTAATAAATTATTATTCTAATAGTGTACAATTCTAAGGTTTCCTTTTCTGAACCAAACAGTCCATTTTCTCAACCATTTTTATTAATGTTATAACTCACATAGAAAATTTTAATGATAACACTAAGACAATTTACTGTATACTATACATGTGTTGTAACCGATCGGATCAACTAGTTGAGTTACTGAGTGGTAACAATTTTTAAATAATGCTGTTAGTTGCATTTCTTTCTAGTGAATGAGTATCAATAACTTTTTACTTACAGTTTTATTTTTGGGAACTTTCTGGAGAGATAAAATGCTTTATAATTTAATATGAGTAATGATAAAACAGACATTTACATTTTTCATCAAACTAAACAAAACCTGCCCACATATGTAAACTATACCTTGAGAAGAAAAATTAATTATTGCCTACAAATTTTTACAGAGATTATTTTCATCTTGATATCTGAAAGATTTTTACACATATATTCTTTTATTTGTAACTTTTTAAAAATTTCAGGAATTCTTTGACCATGTGAAAAAACTTTGGGATGATGAAGGTGTGAAGGCATGTTTTGAGAGGTCAAATGAATACCAACTGATTGACTGTGCACAATAGTAAGTTTGTCCCTTTGCATGTTACATATCTCTTTGAAGAGTATTATTATATTGATATTCTCTTATTATTATTACTTAAATATCTTGAGTTAATGAGTGAATAATTAACGTTATAGAAATCAACTTTTAAAATGAGACTTGCTTAGTAGATAACAAATTTCAAGTTCAGTAGGAACTAGGGTTTTAGGGGAAAACCAGTATCATTTCATCTTGATTATTTTCATTTCTGTTCATTTTTTTATATATGTAAACTATAAAGTGTTTAAATATTTATTAATATTTGAACTTTGGAGTATATTATTATTGTTAGGTGCTGCTGAGTCTATTAAAACTCATGTTGTTGTTGTTGTTATGTACCGTCGAGTCGTTTCCAACTCATAGCGACCCTATGCACAACAGCCCTAAACCCTGCTCTATCCTGCGCCAACCGCACCGCCTCTGACACACCCATCCC